CCAACGCCAAGAAGCTCAACATTCCACCAACAAACCCATCTTTCCAACAAACACCATCAAACCCAACATTCCCCACCAAAACCATCAAACTCAACAATCTCCAACAAACCCAACATTCCACAGAAGACCAATATTATTCACACTGTTCTTCGCTGCCCATATTCGCACTGTTTTAGAATGTTCTCCCCATTCAAACTATTCTACAATGTCCCTATTCACTCTGTTCTAGAATGTTCTGCCCATTCACACTGTTCTGCAGCATCCCTATTCATGCTGAGCTAGAACGTTCCTCCCCCCATCACCCTGGTTCACTGGGTATGTCAGTTGTTATTCCGGAATGTTCTAAAGCAGAGCCCTAACAATGAGAGGCCTGTGTTTGTCGGGTCAGCGTGTTTTTGGCTTCAAGGATGCAATCAGCAGAATTTTCAGCTAAAAATATAATGAAAAGTGAGTTTAACGGAGCAGGAGCTGGAGTGGAACAGTGCTGGGAAATGTGCTTGTGGCAGTGTGTGTGTGTGTGTGTGTTACAGAAAGAGAGAGGGAGAGAGAGAGAGAGAGAGAGAGAGAGAGAGGTTACATGCACTCCAAGATCTTCATGCTCTTCCATGTGTGTTTGATAGGAGGGGTTGTGATCCAATGCACTTTTTAATACTATAAAAACATTTATGATATCAGACGTACACGCTCAGAAATAAAGGTAGTAAACTGTCACTGGGTCAGTCCCCCTCTTGTCACTGGGGTGGGACCCTCAAGGGTCCATCTCAGTACCTTTAGTCAGGGAACATAACTGAACCATAATCCACTGAAATGATATGTTCTAAGCTGTACTGACTCCACACACCCCGTCTCGTCTCCAGGCTTTTATTTTACTGTTCTGTTTAAAACATTCGGTTATGAAAAGGTACAAATACGAACTTTTCACCTGGAAACACTTATTTAAGGTTCACAATCAGACCTTGAAACCACTGTAGTACTGTTGTTTATTAAGTGGCGATGATGTGAAGATGATGAAAGGTCTTCATTGTATAAGAAATTTATTACAAAGTAAAACAGTATCATATCAAGCACTATAAAGTACCTGAGAGAGGATCCGTGCCAATTGTGTCCCCTCTAGAACAGAATATCCAGCTGTTTATATAGGGTGCTTGTTTTCGAAAAAGGGAACAGAACATATGATCCTTTTTAAATTGATCTCATCTATTTGGAACTAAGAGAGAGACCTTTGGACCAGGGGGCCCCCTTAACGTAACATTCCCAACCCTACAAAAACAGATAACAGAGAGGACTTCAGACCTCAACTTATACTAGAAGTTAAGAGTGTTTTTGCCTTGTTTTTAAATATACTTCAGTACCTCCTTTGAGGGAACATTTATATTGTTTGTACCTTGATGGACAGAAAATGTACCTGAATAGAACCTTTATTACTAACAGCGTACATAAACTGGAACGGTTGTCACGGTTCTATTAAAGGGCCCATATATTGGATTTTTGATGTAGTATGTAAACACTGTTAAAGCAGCACTATGTAATATTTTAGTTAGAACTGAAAGAAGTGTCATTACCGAGGGAGGAGAATAAAAACAGGCTAAAATATGGTGAGTGTGCGCTGCTGCGAGTCGCCCTGTAAAGCCTGAAATAATCATTTAAAAGTCAGAGGCGTCGGGTCGGGAGTTTTTCACACCGCGTCGTACGTCTTTACGTATTAACGTTACACACACAGGCTCAAAAAGAAGGTCTGGCTCGATGTTTCAGCCTCAAATGGTCTCAAAATCAACACTATACCGATGAAGAGGTGATGACAATAGTAGATAATTCACTCACATCCTCAAACATGTACAAACAGTCCTTCACCAAGTTCAGACTGAGCTCTCTTTGAATTCTCTTTCAGTCATCAGATTCATCCGCTCTGGGATTCACTCTCTTCTCTTTCACTCTTTTCTTCTCGTTCTTTTTCACACCACACCTTTCTGTCTGTCCGCTCTCCTCATTCTTAATTCCACTTCTCCGACTCCCTCCATCCCTCTCTCTGTTCCTCTCTCTGCAGTGCTGCACTGACTTGTACATTTCCAGAAACGTTCTATTTAGAACCATATTCAGCACATTCTCCATCAACCAGAAGAACCATTTAAGCATGCAAATGGTTCTTTGAGTGTTCATGGTTCTATATAGAACCCTTGAAGAACCATCTTTTAAAGAATGTATGGCTTTTTTTTTCCTTCATCATTAAACTTTAGATGAATATTGAAGGTGTTTGTGTGATCAGTCAGTGATGAAACGGTGTTTGGAGGTGTGAATACTAAAAGTAGAAGTACTCAGTTTCAGTAAACACTGAAAACACTAATCTTCCAAAATAATACTTAAGTACAGTAACAGAGTACTCAAATACTTTTACACACACAGTGCACACACACATCAGTGCAGCACTGCAGAGAGAGAGAGGGAGAGAGAGAGAGGGAGACAAAGGGGGGAACACAGAGAGGGATGGAGGGAGTTGGAGAAGTGGAATTAAGAATGAGGAGAGCCGACCGACAGAAAGGTGTGGTGTGAAAAGAAAGAGAAGAAAAGAGTGAAAGAAGAGAGAGAATAAGTGAGAGAGCTATAGAGAAAGAAGGAGAGAGAGGAATATTTGAAGCAGATGATGGAGAAAATGTTTGTGTCAGAGAGAATCAGCATTACTGTTTCTCTCTCTCTCTCTCTCTCTCTCTCTCTCTCTCTCTCTCTCCATCTCTCTCCCTCTCTCTCTCTCTTTCCCCATCTCTCTCTCTCTCCATCTCTCTCTCTCTCCCTCTCTCTCTCTCTCTCTCCATCCCTCTTCCCCCCTCTCTCTCCACTCCCCTCTCTCTCTGTCTCTGTCTCTCTCCCCCCCTCTCTCTCTCCATCCCTCTCTCCCTCTCTCCTTTTTCTCTCCTTCTCTCCTTATCTTTCTTCTGTCTCCCTTTTTCTAATCTTTGTTCTCTCTTTTTCTTCTCTCCTACTCTTCTTTTATCTTCACCCCATTTCCCCCTTTCACTTCTTCTCTCCCTCTCTTTTTACTCTCTCAGCTCTCACACTTTTCTGTCTCTTTCTCTCTTCATCTTTCTTCTCTCTCAAGTTCAAGTTTGCTTTTTTCTCTCTCTTTCTCTTTCTCTTTTTCTCATCTTTTCTCTCTTTCTCTTTCTCCTCACTCCTCCTCTACTTTCTCTTGCCCCATCTTTCTCTCTCTCTCTCTTTATCATTTTTTCCCATTTCTCTCTCCCTCTCCCTTTCTCTTTCTTTCTCTTTTTCTCTCTCTCTCTTTCACACTCTTTCTCTCTTTCTCTCCTCTTTTTCTTCTCTCCTTCTCCTCCTTTTCTCTTTTCTCTCCTCTATATTTCTTCTCTGTCTCTTTTTCTTATTTTTTCCTATCTCCCTGTATTTGTCCCTCTCTTTCTTTCTCTTTTTCTCATTTTTCCTCCCTCTCTCTCTCTCTCTCTCTCTCTTTCTCTTTCTCTCTGTCTATGATGAATAGATCTGGTTCAGTTTTGTTTTTTTTATATGGTGTAAATGATTCATGGCTCTAATTTTAAAAAAATTCCCAAAACTGCCCATACACACTCTCTCTCTCTCTCTCTCTCTCACACACACACACACACACACACACACACACACACATGCACACACACACACACACACACACACACACACAGATGGAACAATTGCTCTCATATTTTGCAGCGTTTCTAAAAATAATCTGTGCAGGAGGATATAAATAGCCAAGGAGAACGTTTGTGGTTCAGTTGCTCTATTTTTATTTTTAATTATTTATTTATTTGTCGTGTGGACAGTCCAGATTAAACACTCGTCGCTCTGTCCTCTCGACCCACACTGTTCCATCCAGCTGGCACAGAAACTCCTTCCAAGCAGGTTAATTACAGTCCGTTTGGATCCTGATTTCAGCACTCCAGCGCAACACTAACCTACAGCTCTGGGTTGCCAGATTAGGGTCAGCGTTGGCAGCTTGCTTATAGGACTGGATTTAAGGTTGCCAGATTGGATTCTGACATGAATTCAGGGTTGCTGCCTGGGTTCACGTTTGTCAGATTGCATTCCGGATTGGAATCATGGTTGCCAAACTGGATTCAAGGTTGGATTCAGGTTTGTTGATTGGATTCAGGGTTGTCAGGTTGCATTCAAGGTAGCTAGACTGCATTTAAATCTGCCAGATTGGATTGAGGGGCGAACTCAGGGTTGCAGATTGGATTCAAGGTTGCCAGGTTGTGCTCAAGTTTACCAGATTGCATTCACAGATGTTAAATTGATTTAAGGTTGCCAGATTGTATTCAGTTGAATGCATAAGGACTGCCAAATTAGATTTAGTGCTTCTAGATTGAGTTGTTTCGAAACTGGATTAAGAGTTGTCAAGTTGAATTCAGGGTTTGGTTGCCAGATTCATCTTTGCCAGACTGCATTCAGGGTTGGAATCATGGTTGCCAGGTTGGGGTTGCATTCAGGTTTGCTAGAGTGAACGCAGGGTTGCCTGATTGACTGCTTTCCCCTACAAATGCTCTACATTCCACCCTTCTTACCTTTATTACTGAATAAAGTGATTTAACAAATTTAAGAATTTCAGTTAATACAAAATAAATCAGGGGGTTTGGTATCAACAAAACAGCCTAAATTACATCCACCAGCCTGAGGCTATTTTTATTCAGCCCAGTGTGATTAAAATAGTCCTTTCGGGAGGGAAACCGCCCAATCTGGCAACGCTGGCTAGCGGGCAGCAGCGAGGCGTGACAGAATTGGAGTTTGGGGGGGTGGAGGTGCGCCGGCTCTCGGGACATTATGGCTGTAATTGCAGTGCAGAGCTGCAGGAACGAAAAGAACGACAGTTAAGACCAAGGTCATTTACCCACAATCCTCCAGGTCGACGAACGAACAGCGCACACACTGTGGATTACTGTCACTGACATCAATGTTTAAAATAGAGGCTGTTTTATTTAACTCTCTCTCTCTCTCTCTCTCTCTCTGTCTCTCTGTTTCAGAAACCTGGGGAAATCAGGCCTGCGTGTGTCCTGTTTGGGCCTCGGTGAGTAAATTATGACCTCTGACCTTTGTTGCCACAGTTGAATCACTGTAGCATCAGTACGCCAGCTGTGTTTTCTCTCTGTATTGTAAAGTAGTGGTTCTCAAATGATGGGTGCACTAAGGAGGCTGCAGAAACATTTTAGAAGTTGTAGTAAATTTGCTCATTTATTAAGGCCCAATCCCATTTCTTATTTTTACCCCTACCCGTTGTTTTCGAGTGTCTCCTTCCACTTTACATCTCAGTTACAAGCAGTAGTGGTTGAAATCTTCCCTCTGAAATGGGACCCTCAAATAAAAGAGCATTATTCATTAACAGCTACTAGCGCTGCTCTGTAGGTGACCCTGCCGGTCTGCAGTGACAGCAGAGGAGGGTAAAGTTCAGCTCCTCACTGCTGGGCTTTAGTTACATTTAGGGAATCATACGCCTTCAAAGAGGGGGCAATTATTTATTATCACCCTCCACTAATTCTTCAGTGATATGAAGCTGAAGTCAGATATTCACCAGATTCTTGCTCGAATTTTCCCCTTCCACCTTAAATGGTGCGGCGGTTGTGTGTGATTGTTATAGTGTATTGGGTAACATCTCTGCCTTCTACACTGTAGACTGGGGTTCAACCCCCACCTGGGTAAGCACCCTACACTATACCAATAAGAGTCCTTGGGCAAGACTACCTAAAATGATCAAATTGTAAATTGCTCTGCATAAGAACGTCTGCCAAATGCTTTAAATGTAACGCCTGAGGCAGCAGAATGTAACTGCTGCACCGTTTAAGGCTACCGAGACATCAGCACTATTAGCGATTTTTTTTATGCTTGTTATGAAGAAAAGGACAGAAATGACATTAAATTTATATAATACGATTTTTAACGGAGAAAATTCTCACATTTTTGGGTTTCTTTGGTCTCTTGTGCAGCCATCTTGCTGTTTTTTCTTTTTTTCTCATATCACTCCGTTTGGAGGGTCATGTAGCCCTAACACTGAGTGGTAGGGGCGAGGGGTGAAATGGGCCTTAATCTGCTTCAGGTATCTAAAAGAAATGCCACAGTATAGAACAGCGCCACGCCAGGTCCAGTGTTGCCAGATTGAGTGTATTCCCACCAAATTTGGCAGATTTTTGTCCAATCAGTGATCAAAACTTCAGCATACCCTATAAAACTCAGAAGACTCGTGTAGAAGACTCGGTTCGCTGGTGGTTTAGGATAGTAAATAAAATGTCTATATTTGTGTTGTAGTCATGGCGACCCCTGGTTCCTATCACCACCACTGTAAAGACATCTGAACCATTTCACACCAAACCACTCTGAATCACTCTGTTTACATCTCACACACTGAAATTATGCAGAAACATATATAGAAAAATAAGTGTGAATCCCTTTTAAGCACACTGGGCCATAACTGGACATAAAAATAACAGTGGTTTTTGGGAGTCGTATTATCAGTCACTCCTGCTGAGAGGAGGCTGTTGCCCTGCCCATCTGTATCACTGACACTTAACATTGTCTATCTCTCTCTCTCTCTGTTTTTCTCTCTCTCAGGGACGTGGGTGACCTTTGGCTCACAGATTTCAGATGAGGTGAGTGCTATTGTAGTTTATACACTCTTTATGCACTCCCTGGCCACTTTATGAGAAACCGCTCCCTTGTCGCCTTGCTAATAATAAACTGCCCAGTGAAAGGAAGCACAATGTAGGTGTTTCTAATAAAGTGGCCAGTGAGTGTAAGCAAAAGGTCAGTTTTTCTAATAAAGTGGCCAGTGAGTATAAGCACAAGGTAGGTGTTTCTAATAAAGTGGACGGTGAGTATAAGCACAAGGTACGTGTTTCTAATAAAGTGGCCAGTTAGTGGAAGTACAAGGTAGCTGTTTCCAATAAAGTGGCCAGTGAGTATAAGCACAAGGTAGGTGTTTCTAATAAAGTGGACGGTGAGTGGAAGCACAAGGTAGGTGTTTCTATTAAAGTGGCCAGTGAGTGGAAGTACAAGGTAGCTGTTTCCAATAAAGTGGCCAGTGAGTGGAAGTACAAGGTAGCTGTTTCCAATAAAGTGGCCAGTGAGTGGAAGTGTGTAAATGTGGGTGTTTGTATCCTCAGATGGCGGAGAACTTGATGACTGTAGCATATGAGAACGGCGTAAACCTGTTCGACACTGCGGAGGTCTACGCCTCGGGCAGGTAAGACACTCACCTCATCTGACCACTTAGCTCTGTGTGTGCATGTGTGGCCCTTTATTTTCCCTCTACATTATGAGATTTAGAAAGCCTGTGAGTCACTAAATCAGAGGCAGAAGCTGAGACATCACTTTTAAAGCCTGCGGTAATTAAATATCCTCCGACTGCAGTGCCGTCTCTTCTCCGTAAGGATCTCTGTGAGATGCTGTCAGTACGCTGATGTGGAGGGGGGGTGTATGGATAGATTGATGGGTTTAAAGGTGTGGTTTTGTTTCAGATGTAGGAGGGACACTATGGAGTAACAGCACTTTTACCTGATTATAGTTTATCCATCTTTAAGTTAATGCCAGCTAATATTAGCTAACTTAGCCACTCATTTCCCTGTTTATCATTTCGTACAAAGTTTTAAAACTCGAATGTTATTGGAGTTAACGCTGAATGGGCGTGTCTTCCCACGGTTTGTTACTTCTAATACAACAATTTAAAAAAGTGTAGACCCAGCATAACCATAGCAATGGGTGTACAGCAGGTGTGGAAAAAGTTTGTAGCATAACCATGGAAATAGATGTGGCATAGTCATGGAAATGGATGTAGTGTAACCATGGAAATGGGTGTAGAGTAACCATGGAAATGGGTGTAGAGTAACCATGGAAATGGATATAGAGTAACAATGGAAATGGGTGAAGAGTAACCATGGAAATGGGTGTAGTGTAACCATGGAAACGGGTGTAGAGTTACCATGGAAATGGATGTAGAGTAACGATGGAAATGGGAGTACAGTAACCATGAAAATGGGTGTAGAGTAACCATGGAAATGGGTGTAGTGTAACCATGAAAATGGGTGTAGAGTAACCATGGAAATAAATATAGAGTAACGATGGAAATGGGTGAAGAGTAACCATGGAAATGGGTGTAGTGTAACCATGGAAACGGGTGTAGAGTTACCATGGAAATGGATTAGAGTAACGATGGAAATGGGAGTACAGTAACCATGGAAATGGGTGTAGAGTAACCATGAAAATGGGTGTAGAGTAACCATGGAAATGGATATAGAGTAATGATGGAAATGGGTGAAGAGTAACCATGGAAATGGGTGTAGTGTAACCATGGAAACGGGTGTAGTTACCATGGAAATGGATTAGAGTAACGATGGAAATGGGAGTACAGTAACCATGGAAATGGGTGTAGAGTAACCATGGAAATGGGTGTAGTGTAACGATGGAAACAGTTGTAGTGTAACCATCAAAATGGGTTTAGTGTAACCATGGAAATGGGTGTAGTGTAACCATGGAAATGGGTGTAGTGTAACCATGGAAATGGATGTATTGTAACCATGGAAATGCATGCAGTGTAACCATGGAAATGGGTGTGGTAAGATTATGGAAATGGGTGTAGTTTAACCAAAGAAATGGGTGTAGTGTAACCATGGAAATGGGTGTAGTGTAACCATGGAAATGGGTGTAGAGTAACCATGGAAATAGGTGTAGTGCAACAATGGAAATGGGTGTAGTATAAGCATGGAAACAAGTGTAGTGTAACCATTGAAATGTATTGACAATAATCATGGAAATTGATGTGACGTAACTATGGAAACCTATCATCTGGATTATGACCGCAGGGCAGTATAAGTAGACCTGCACTATTTAGGGATTTCCCCATAAACTCTAAGTCACTTTGAGAGTGGACATCACAAAAACGGGATTATACAAAGTTCCCCAGTGCTAGCTATGCCAGTGGATGGATGGATGGATGAATAGATAGATAGACGAATGAATAAATGGATGCATGGATAGATGGATGGTCTCCAGAGAGCACATTCTGTCCTGGCGTTCCTCCATGCTGCCTCTCTTCTCTTTTTGCATAAACCTGACAAATGTGAGGCCATTCTGCTTTATTGCTCAACCGCCGCCTGTTATTTACAGTGTTCACTTTCTTCTCTCTCTCTCTCTCTACCCGCCCCCCCCCTCTGCAGGGCTGAAATCACTCTGGGTAATATTATTAAGAAGAAAGGCTGGAGGTGAGCCCTTATTCAGCAGCCATTACTGCATTACTCACATTTCCAGTGCCATTCATATGCATACGAATAACCCGCCGGACCGATTACTTCTCCATCTATTATTCACACTGACACTCCAAAACACAAAAGAGCGTTTCCATCCATCTGCTGTGTTCTGAAGTTTATACAGTGTTCATTTATTTTCCTCTTCGTCGACCACTTCAGAGCAGAACTGCAGCAAATGCTGTGCTGCCTTTTTACTGTAATAGGGTTTTAAAAGGTAACTAACTCTCCTCATCTGAATGACTTCTTCTTTCGCAGGAGATCCAGTTTTGTAGTAACGACAAAGATCTACTGGGGAGGACAGTAAGTGTTTATTATTTAATCATTTTTACTATTTGAAGGACTACATGACAAAAAACTTCACTATTTTCCTTGGGTAACACTTCCGTTGTCCACCTGCAGGGCGGAGACAGAGAGAGGCCTGTCCAGAAAACACATTATCGAAGGTACAGTGCTGTTCATGATGACTTGATTGGATTCGGATGAATCACAGCGTCGGTTCAATTTGATTAGCAGAATTCAGGTTTATTTTCATATACTGCAGCAGATATTAAAAGAATACAATATTTATACAAAATTGTTTTACATTTGAAAATAAGGAGAGAATTTTATCTTGGCAAAACAGATTGAATTGAATCAGATATTATTATATCCACTAATAATTCATTTTAGTATAAAACACTCTAAAATCAGTGCAGTTGAATGGCCACCTTCAGACTGATGCATATACACCCTTAATGATGATCATTCGTTAATGACGATGACGGTCATATTGGAGATAATGAAGTACTGAGGATAGTGACATCACTCTCGGCAGGTCTTCGAGGTTCTCTCTCCAGACTCCAGTTGGATTACGTGGACATCGTCTTTGCCAATCGAAACGACGTCAACAGTCCAATGGAAGGTGAGTCATAGACAGTTTTCACTGCAGTAATCAATAATAATGCAGTAAATATCTACCTGTCTATTGGTGTGGATTGTCAGGAGTTCAGTCCCCAGTGATGCCACAGCCATCCGTAACCAGCAGTCTAAGAGATCTCTCTCTGGGTGGGTAGGGTGGTCCTCGCTGGAGCACTTCTGGGCTGGCGCTGATATTCAATATTTTTCACGTACATACAGTCATATGCAAAAATTTCATGTTTTGTTGATTTTCTAAGTGATAGTAAGTTAACACATCCTGCCGTGCCGTATTCAAAGCAGCACTGTGTAGTATTTTTGTTAAAGCTGAAAGCAGTATCATTACTGAGTGAGGAGAATAAAAAACACACTAAAATATGGTGGTCGTGCGCTGCTGTGAGTTGCCCTGTACTATAGTAGAAAATTCACTCACGTCCTCTGAAGACATGATCTGCGTCAAGTTCTCTTTGAATTCTCTCTCAACGCACTCTCAAAAGTCAGATTCGTCTGCTTGTTGGGGTCTGAAGCAACACCGACGTTACAAGTGTTCTAACGTTACGTAGTTACATATTTCCACCAGAGAGGGCTCCAAATCACCAAATCCTACATAGTGTTGCTTTAAGTCCCTGTACTGCAGGGGTGCCAAACTCAACCACTAAAAGGGACATATTAAAAAATCTCAGCAAATCCGTGGGCCAGCTTTTTTTATTTTATTTTTACTTAACATTTTGCCAGGATCCTAATGAGCCATTGTTTATTCAAAATATGCCAGAACTGCAACAGCAAAATAGGCACTGAATACTTACTCAAAATTATTCTAAATAAAACTAAATCGTTTTAGGTCGTTTTTTCAAAACTGCCTATTTGCTTGAACTGGACACCAGGCATCTTTTCTCTTTGTGTAACTGCTGGCCCAGAGATTGTTGTTGAAGAAAGGTGGTCAGAATGCACACTATGTGGCAGTGCATGCTGGGGACTGTAGTGAATCTCAGGGTAAAACAGGTTAATAAGAATAGAAAATTAAAATAATTTTGTGGGCCGAATAGGACTGTGTCAGGGGTCTGACTTGTGTTTGACACATGGGCTGTAGAGGATGTGTTAGATTATTTTCACTTAGAAAATCAACAAAACAAGCTAAAACTATGACTGTATGTAAAATGGAAAAATTTGGGATATTAGCATCGGCCCAGAATTGTCCTAACTTTTGTATGTAATTGTATCTGCTGACAGAAACCGAGCTTTAATCCTCTTGGATTAGCATCACTGAGAAATATGGCATTTCTGAAAGGTTACAAAAACAGTAAAATGAATGCAGATATTTTAGCGCAGTAACCAGGCGACACCTATATGCTCTGCTCTCCCGGGAAACGTTAATTCATCATTAATCATTATAATCGTTTTGAATTTTCAGTCCAATTTAACCACCAATGCTGATCATTTTTTATCTCCAACAATCTGATGAGGCTAATTTGATTCTGATATCACTGTTCATCCCTATTAATTACTACACTTATATTACAACATATAAGTGTGTCTCCAACACATATATTGAACCAACAAACTGCCGTTATCAAACAATTTACCATAAGAAAATAATAAAGTTATATTCTGATATTTTGCTTCACTCATTTGAGTGAAAGGGGCCTGAGGTTTAAGGGTTAATATTAAATGGTGTGTGTGTGTGTTTTGCAGAGGTGGTCCGTGCGATGACGTTTGTGATAAACCAAGGCATGGCCATGTACTGGGGGACGTCTCGCTGGAGCGCTATGGAGATCATGGTACGATCAATCAAGCAGAACAATCAGTTAATCAATAAATAGGGCAGGTGTCACACAGTGAAGTGTACTGATAAACTTCTCAGACATTCCAAACCGTCTGTGAGTTTCTGTAATTTTCAAAGTGGTGTTTGATGGCGTATTTCTGTCCTCCCCCCACCAGGAGGCGTACTCAGTGGCACGGCAGTTTAACCTGATTCCCCCAGTGTGTGAGCAAGCTGAGTACCATTACTTCCAGAGAGATAAAGTGGAGGTGCAGCTCCCGGAACTTTACCACAAAATTGGTTAGTATCAGCGTAAAGTATTATTACAAACAGTGAACTTTACAGAAAATCAATCAATATCAGTGTAACTTACTTTACTAACAGTGACTTTTACAAAAATAATGTAAATGCACAGAATGTTCACAATATACATAACATACACAAAACATAGACACACACAAAAATGTACACACACACACACACACACACATAATGCATAAATACAAAACAACATTCTCTCACAGTACGTTCGCCACACGCTCTTTCATTTAAATCTCACACCAGAGATTACGAGCGTCACACACTGAGAGTCTGATATAGAAAGGAAAATGAATTCTTTTCTCCCTCCAAGCTAAATTAATTTTAGATCAATTAGTTTCTTTGTTTGGAAAGTTTTAATTGTTTTGAATGAGGTCTGTTTAAAATCAGAGCTTCAGTGCTTTTCATATCAGCTCCTTCAGCAGCAGCTCTGAATTCACCGCTTTACTGCCTGGATTTAAACAGTCAGTCACTCTCATTTCACTCTGAGTGCTTCTGTCAACTCTCTCTGTCTCTCTCTCTCTCTCTGTGTGTCTCTCTCTCTCTCTGTGTCTCTCTCTCTCTCTCTCTCTCTCTCTCTCTCCCTCTTGCTCTCTCTTTTTTCTCTCTCTCTCTGTATTTCTCTTTCTCTCTCTTTCTTCTCTCTCTCTCTCTCTTCCTCTCTGTATCTCTCTCTCCCTCTTTCTTTCTCTCTGTATTTCTCTCTCTCTCCCTCTCTCTTTTTCTTTTGTCATCTTCTCTTTTATCTCTCATCTCTCTCTCCTCTCTCTCTCTGTATTTCTTTGTCTCTCTCTCTTTCCTTCTCTCTTTCTTATCTCTGTCTTTCTTGTTTCTCTATCTGTTCCTTTTGTCATCATCTCTCTTTCTTTTCAACCTGTCATCCCATCTCTCTCTCTCTCTCTCAGGTGTTGGAGCGATGACCTGGTCTCCGTTGGCGTGTGGGCTGATCACAGGAAAATACAGCGATGGCGTTCCTGAATGTTCTAGAGCTGCAATGAAAGTGAGTCATGTTTGCTGTTTCTTTTTCCTCCCTCCTTCTCTCTCTCTCTCTTTCTCTCTCTCTCGCTCTCTCTCGCTCTCCCCCTCTCTCCATATGCACTCCTCAGCGCTCCGTATTTGCCGGTGCGAGGGCAGCTGTCCTGTGTGAGTGAGTGTTTATTCCTCAGGCTAATGGCTGTGCGGCGTAAGCAGCTTAAAGCTAATGCACAGCTCTGATTAGTGCACTGCAGCTCCGTCTCCGTCGCTCCTCCATTAGAGTTTAAGACTGTCAGGCAAATCTATAAGATCTCCTAACACTTCAGGATTTACAGTAAGAGTTTAAACCTGCTTCAGGATGTGCATGTGCGCATGCTTGTGTATGTATGTTTACACTGTACCTTTCTGATTTGTATATTATTACATACACACACACACACACACATTTTTATATACATGTCGGAAGAAAACTTCGTATCTTCTTTTTATTGTCATTTTTCAGTTTTTGAACTGAAGTGAAAATGCCTGTTGTTCTTTACATTGGGTGTAAATTTCATGATGAATGAACCAAAAGAAACGGCCCAAAATGACATGGGAAAATGTCTGGTTCCATTGACTTACATTAGAAGTAAAGTAGGTTTTTTTGTTCTCCTGTAAAGTTACCATTCTGGAGATACAAGGTTTTCTTCTGACAACAGCAATATACAAAATCAATCAATGTCAATAATCAATATCAAATATAATCAATATCAAACCAAATATATACAAAAAACATAGGGTACTTTCTGTTGGGAGGTGTCTGTCCCAAACCCTAACCCCTAAATTTTAATTCAGAAAATAATACTTACATTTTTTGTACTTTTTCACTTCTTTTAAAGATCTTTGTGATTTCTTTTAAATCTGAAAGATTTTGTTTTAACATGAGTTTGATTTTTAAAATAAAAAAAACAGTTATTTTCATGTCACTGCTGAAACACAGAGTTTTCATCTGTGGGCGGAGCCTTATTTTAGCCACACTCCTGCATTTTAGAGCAGGAAGTGAGGCTGCATCCCTGTCCCTCTTGGCCACATGGTGAGCAGTTAGATCCCATTGTTTTGAAGTAAATGTGTCCCAAAGTCTGAAAATCAGTGTGGAACAATAAGAATTGTCATATTTTCTGCAATTAAGTATTTTTTGGTGTTTTAATTAAAATATGATGATTTTATGTGTGTACAGCTGTCCAAAGCTGTGTTTTCTGGTCATGTACTGACTGCGTTTTTGAGTTCTGATCAAAATTAGCTAAAATTGTCACTACGGAAACAATCACTGTATCAGCTCCCCCATAAAGACCAAATGGACACATATGAACATATATGAACATATATGTATGTGTGTGTTTGTGTGTGTGTGTATCTATCAGGGTTATCAGTGGTTAAAGGAGCGAGTGTACAGTGAAGAGGGCCGCAGACAGCTGGCCAAAATCAAAGAGCTCCACCTGCTGGCCGACCGGCTGGGCTGCACCGCTGCACAACTTGCCATCGGTGAGTGTGTGTCCAGTGTTTTACCTAAAATGACTTCTGTGGAATATTTAAAGGTGTCAAATGTAATTGAGGCCGTCTGTTTATACAGTACAAAGCAAAAGTCACACTTTATTTACTTTATTTCCAGGCATAAAAGCCAGAAAATAATTAATAAAAGTTATTAATTTTTCAGCATCAGGAAAAAACAGAAACATATTTAGCTGAAATTTACACAAGAACTAAGTAATAAATATGAAATAACACTCAGTATTCAGTGTGTCCCCACTTTGCCTTATTGCCTCTCTCTCTCTCTCTCTCTCTCTCTCTCTCTCTCTCTCTCTCTCTCTGTCTGTCTCTCTCTCTCTCTCTGCTTCAGCGTGGTGTTTGCGCAGTGAAGGTGTTAGTTCTGTTTTGTTGGGCGTCTCAAACACAGATCAGCTTCTGGAGAACTTGGGCGCGCTACGGGTAACACACGCACACGCACACACACGCACACAAACACACACACACACACACTCGAGCAAAGAGTCTGATGTGTGATGTAAACAAAACATACCATTCACTATCCAGTCATAAAATCAGTTCATTTTGGTGTAATTGTTTTTGTGATGTCACAGAAACAAACCAACCAATTTACATACTATTCAGCCTACAGAAGTTTAGCCCCGCCCACTCACGCTGAAGTTATAAGTAGTGTTCCAGCCTGGACTGCTTTTTGAATGATGCACAATACAGGACAGTCAATCAGAACAAAGCTCGTTCACACAGAGCTCATTCACACGCATACATATAAAAATATATGCAAATGAGTTCTGTTCTGATTGGCTGTCTTGTATTGCATACTAACAAAAATAGTTCAATTAGTCTCCTTCACTCTCAAAAACAAAGGTTCCTGATTTTTTCTTGGTTTGCTCATGTGGTTCCATGAAAACAAAAACATTGGAATAGAACCTCTACAATGGAAGGTCTTTAAACTTTAAAAAGGTTCTTCACCTTCACTTCTCACTTACAGAAATGGTTCTCTGTTCTGTCCCTCTGCAGGTGCTCTCTCAGATGACCCCTCAGACGGTCAGTGAGATGGACGCTCTGCTGGGAAACAAGCCGCACTCCAAGAAAGAGTCGCGCGCGTGAGGAGAGCATGAGAATGAGGGGAAAAAAACGAGTGAGAAAACGAGTGTGGGCTGGAAGAAAAGATGCAGAAAAGAAGGATGGATGAGAAAAGGAGTGCTTTCGCGTCCTTCCCTGTGTACTCCATCTCCCTGCATGGCTCCTGCAAAAATATCGGGCTTCCAGAAACAGATCCAGCGCCAGACCCATTCCAACCCAGACCAGAACCAAACCCATTTAACCCCCACCGACCCAGAACTGGACCCTTTTAACCCAATCCAGAACCAAAACCTTATCCTGGACCAGAACCAAATCCATTCCAAGCCTAACTAGAACCAAACCCATTTCTCCTGGATTTCATCCAGACCAGTACTGCACCGTAGCAAGACTGGACCTATTTAACCCATGCCAGAACTGGAACTATTTAAATGGACCCATTTAGCCCAGATGAGAACCGAACCACATCTGGACCTATTTAACCTGGACAATGACTGGACCTTTAAACCTAGACCAGGGTAAGACCTATTTATTCTAGACCAGAACTGGAACTATTTAACTTGGACCAGAAATGGTCTATTTTACCCAGACTATGAAAAAAAAAAACAGTTTAACCTGGACTGAGCTAGAACTAGACCCATTGAACCTTGACAAGAACCAAAACAACACTGGATCCATTTAACCCAGACCACAACTGGACCCATTTAATTCAAACCTGTTTACCCCATGTCAGAACCAAAAAGGTACTAGATTCCACCAAGAGCTATTTATCCTGGATTAGAACTAGACCCATTCAACCCAGACCAGTACTGGACTCATTTGGTTCAAAGCAGAAGCGAATCTATTTACCCTCATGTCTAAACTGAATCGGTATTGGACCCAGACAAATATTGGACCCATTTATCCTGGACTAGAACTGAATCCTTTTGACTTAGGCCAAAGCTAGTCCCACTCATCCCTGACAAGAACCAAAACAATACTGGATTTATTTAACCCAGACCAGAACTATACCCATTTAACCCAGACCACAAATGGACCCATTTAATCCAAACCTGTTTACCCCATGTTAGAACCAAAACAGTACTAGACTCTGCCAAGACTCATTTATCCCGGATTAGAACTGGATTCATTTAACCCAGACCAAAACTCGACAAATTTAACTCAGACCAGAACTAGACCCTTTCAACCCAGGCCAGTGCTGGACCAATTCAGTTCAAACCAGAACCAAATCTATTTACCCTCACGTCAGAACCGAATCAGTACTGGACCCGGATGAGTAATGGAAACATTTATCCCAGACTAGATCTGAATCCATACTGGATCCATTTTACCCAGCCCACAACTGGACCTATTTAATCCAAAACAGAACCAAGCCTGTTTACCCCATGTCAGAACCGAAACAATACTAGACTCGTCAAGACACATTTCCCCCTGATTTGAACTGGACTCATTTAACCCAGACCAAAACTTGACTCATTTAACTCGGACCAGAACTAGACCCATTCAACCCAGGCCAGTACTGGACCCTTTCAGTTCAAACAAGAACCAAATCTATTTACCCTCACCTGAGAACCGAATCACGACTGGACCTGGACGAGTACTGGACCCATTTATCCTGGAGTAGAACTGAACCCATACTGGATCCATATAACCCAGACCAGAACCCGTTCTGCATCACTAGCCCTGCTTTTTTATGAATATATAACCATTAACTAAAAATACCAGATTTTACTCTAAATGCAACAAGAACACAGAGACAGTGAGAACTAAGGCTGTTCTATTATATATCACTCATCCGGAGAAAGAGAGACGGAGAAAAGAAGTAAATCAGAGCATCAGGTTTCTGTCTTCCAGGAGAAACACTTACCGGAGGAAGATGGAGGGAGATGAAAAAAAAAAAACCTCTCCCAGAATGCAGCAGGCTTTAGGCACATGTATGAATGTGTTTGGACTGCTGGGTCACTGCTGTTCACTGCCAACGAAGCAAACAGACACAAAAGCAGCAAAACACAACTGAAGATGTGTGTGTGTGTGTGTGTGTGTGTGTCTTCCTCCATCTTCCTCCCTCTCGTCTCGCCCTGTACGACTCAAACTGTGCGCATGTCCCTTTAAGTGAGTCCCCACTGCCCAGTTAGAGGGATAAGCTGATCCGCATCCTCGGCCTCGTCTTTTGCACACAAGCCGACTGGGTCAGAAGGTCAACCGTTAACGTGACCGGAGGACTGTGCTCGCATCGCTGTGTGTGACGGACATTTCCTGCGTCAATGACAATGAAACCGTGAAGAGGACTTCCACAGCGTGTGTGTGTGTGTGCGCGTGTGTGTGTGTGTATGTATGAATAGGGAAAATTTATGCTTCAAATGGACACAAACAGCTTAATCTCCAGAGCTTTAGATAGAACCAGCCTCATGTTAGCTTTGGCTTTAGCGTTTCATTAAAGCAATAGTTTGGTGAAAAATTAACCCCCCAGTTTCCATCTTTACCCCCAAATGTAGTCGATCAGCCAGCAAGTCTGAAGTCTGATGTTTGCTGCTTTAGTTTTAGCACTAGAGCTACTAATGTAGCTAATATAGACATCTGATACCAAAATATGGAGTTTCGGGACGGGTTCTAGACAACTTTTTATGTGCAGCTTTGTGTTTTTCAGCTGTACCAGTCGGGCTTGGCCGAGTCAGATTTCAAAGTCACAGGTTCTAGTTGAGTTTTGGTTTCAAATGGTTTATTGGTAGCAGTCGGGTTGAGTTACGTCGGGTTTCTAAGTTGCGGGTCCAGGCTTAGTTTAGCAGCGGGTTGAGTTGGATCGGGTCTTTAAGTTGTGGGTCCAAGTTGGGTTTAGCAGTTGGGTCGGGTTTTTAAGTTGTGGGTCCGAGTTGGGTTTAGCAGTTGGGTCGGGTTTTTAAGTTGTGGGTCCGAGTTGGGTTTAGCAGTTGCGTCAGGTCTTTAAGTTGTGGGTCCGAGTTGAGTTTAGCAGTTGGGTCGGGTTTTTAAGTTGCAGGTCCACGTTGGGTTTAGCAGTTGGGTTGGGTATTTAAGTTGCAGGTCCATGCTGGGTTTAGCAGTTGGGTCGGGTTTTTAAGTTGTAGGTCCAGGTTGAGGTAAGCAGATGGGTTGAGTCAGGTCGGGTTTCTAAGTCATTGGTCCAGCTTGGGTTTACCAGTCGGGTCAAGTTGGGTTGGGTTTCTAAGTTATGGGTCGAGGTTGGGTTTAGCAGTTGGGTTGAGTCAGGCTGAGTTGTTAAGTTGCGGGTCCGGGATGAGTTTAGCAGCCGAGTTGAGTTGGGTTGGGTTTTTACGTCACGGGTCCGGGTTGGGTTTAGCAGTCTGATTGAGTTGGGCTGGGTCTTTAAGTTGTGGCTCTGGGTTGGGTTTAGCAGTTGGGTTGAGTTGGATCAGGTTTCTAAGTTGTGGGTCCAGGTTGGGTTTAGCAGTCTGGTTGAGTTGGGTCGGGTTTTTAAGTTGTGGGTCCGGGTTGAGGTAAGCAGATGGGTTGAGTCGGGTCAGGTTTCTAAGTTGTTGGTCCAGGTTGGGTTTAGCAGTCGGGTCAAGTTGGGTCAGATCTTTAAGTTGTGGGGGTTGGGTTGGTTTTGGGTTCTGAATTCAGCGGTAGCATCCGGGACAGTCTGGGCCAGGTCTTTAAGTTTGCGGGTCTGGGTTGGGTTTAGCAGTTGGGTCGGGTCTTTAAGTTGCAGGTTCAGGTCAGGTTTCAGACCTCTAAGCCAAGATAGCTAACATGCACCACTGTTCAAACATTTGGAATCATTTTATCAATAATATGAAACTTATTAGATGTTAGATGTGTCCAGAATGATGAAGAGAGCTGTAGAAGATTCTGAAACGACTAAGAAAGCTGTCTCGGGTTACAGCAGTGTTGCTGTGATTGTTAATAGGTGGAGGACACTTTTGCACTACTTGTTAGCTACATTAGTATCGTAGCTCCAGTATAAAACTATACATGCAATCTTCAAACATGTCTTGGCTGATTATAAATTAGATTTTTCTCCAAACTATTCCTTTTAATACAAAAACTCACCTCAGTGATATTCTACAGCGTGGCTGTCCCCAAACACAGGTAGCAAGCGCACAAAACACCACCAATATCACATTCTCATCAGTATGTACTGCATAACAGAGGCCTGGTGTCGCAGAGATGAAAGCTAACTGTATATCACCTCATCATATGCAGATGAGTGCAGCCTCAGTGCTGCTAGGCTAGCGGATAAGAGCGTCAGCATTGGTGACTGTTACATTGTACGTTTTAAAGGAACAGAACGCTGGAGACTCAAATTTTCCCACTTTTCCCTCTTTTCCTAGAACTGGATGTGCTGCGTCTGAGCTTTGCTTCTTCAGGAGCTGAGGCTAATGTAGCTAACAAGGAATGGAAACTTATACTCTGCCTATTAGCATGGTGCTAACTGCTTAGACTGCCTATATGACGTACTGTTATGTATAAAAAATGAATGTTGCATATCTAAAAGCATTACATAGGTGAGGAAAAAGAAGTTGCAGTCATCTTGAAGGCTGAATTTTATCCATACTTAGGTCCATTTTTATAGAAAACAGTCACACTGTGTCGGAAACCAGTTAGCATTGCACTGTGCTGTTTGCTAGCAATGCTGATAAGCTTTCTTCACTTGTTACCTACATTAGCCTCGTAGCTCCAGCGCTAAACTAAAGAAGAACATGTCTTGGCTGATTAAATACAGCTAATATACAAGGAGGGAAAACTGTGCAAATCTGATTTTTTTGCTAAACTATTCCTTTGAATCTGCAGGACAGGAGGGAGTGTCTGTTATTGGAGTATTCCTGTTTGTTAGCCGAGTGAGAAAGGCCTTATGCGAGGACTCTGAATCAGCTGTCGGAGATCAGGGAGGACTGTGGAAGTTTATTTTTGCACACAGCGTGGTCTGAAGTGAGGGGTTTCGATGGATTTCCATTCTCAAGCTGTTGGGGCTTAATTTGCTGAGTCACTACGCCCGTTTGTTACGTCTTCAGACGAACCTGCCAGGATGCGGAAGACAACCGAGGCAACCCAGGAGTGGATCTGCCCATCAAGTCCAGACGGCAGCGTCTGTCTTTTCCCTTCTGTTTACGTTTGTGTCCATTGCCAATCCTCTGCTGCTGGTACCTACCAAGCTTTACTGAGTGGAAGAGCCAAGGGTGTGAGAATTAGGGCTGCACGATATGGACGGAATACTAGTACTGAGATTATATTGCTGCTTATTATGATATATTGAAAAAAAACAATGGTAAATCAGTAATGTGGCATGGTCAAAGATTAGCCTGAATTCTCTTTTATTGGATTATGTGAATATCTTAATAACTCAAAGCACTCACAGAAACCCACCTGGAACTGGGTTTGGTCAAAATTGTGAAAATATTGTTAATAGAAGCTCATTTACATATTGCAGCCTTCTGCGAGATCATTGTTTCAAAGGTCAGTATTGCAATAATGATTAGCAGACGATACATTGTGCAGCCCTAAGAAGATTGCAAATCTTTCTTATCAGTTTATGACCAGTTATTAATAATCTATTTAGAAAAATCCTGGGGTCCAGTTAAGGTCCCCACAGATTTAGATCAGACAGCTGTTTCCAG